ACACACACACACACACACACACACACACACACACACACACACACACAGGCACACACAGAAGCTGGGGAGAGGAATCTGTAGGTAAGGACAGCTGTTGCCAAACCTGAATACCTGAGCTTGATCCTTGGGACTCGTAGAAGGAGACTACAAGATGCATACTATGATATGCACATATGCACATATATACCCGACACTAAAACATTATAAAAATGTTTTAAAAAGCTAGGCATGATTGTGGTGTTTTTGTAATCACTGTGCTGTGGTGATGGAGCCACGAGGGCTCCTGGTGCTTGCTACCTACCCAAAAGCCTTACTTGGTGCACTCAAGTCCAGAGAGAGACCCTGTCTCAAAAAATATATAAATGATTCCTACGAAACAATGCCCAATATTGTCCTCTGACTCCCCATCTCACACATAACACATACACAAAAATAATGTTGCAGGGGAGGAATTGCAGCTGTACTGGACGTGTGAAAACTCTTTCCACTATTCCTAGGGCAATGGAACCTAACAAGCATCACATGGCACTTGCATGGTATTCAGTATTCTAATTCATCTACAAGGGCTTTAAGGCTTTAAGAGTGTGTGCACAGCCTATACACAAATGCTACGCCATTTTAATCAAGGAAGCACTTTTTTACATTTTCCAAATGTGGCCCCTTTGTGCCCAAGAAATCTCCATGTAGCTCAAGATACAGAGATATATAAAATAAGAAATAAGACAATGTTTTTATAAACATGTGGCCATGAACCTTCACAAAGTGGTACCTAATGAGAGATCCTTGAGTTTAGGGATGTGCCTTCTCTTCTCCTATATTAGATGTGACCATTGTTTTCCACACATGCTCCCACCATGCTGGGCCACCATCTGCTACTCTCACCAGAAGCCAAATCAGTGGGGGCAGGCATCCAATGTTAAATTTTCAATCCCTAAAATTTAAATAAAAGATAAACAAATTCTCCACTTTATAAGTAGCCGGCAGGGTCAGACAGTTTGTCTCAGTGGTGAGTGCTGAGGAACAGTCACTCGAGCCTGACATAAATGAAAACAACTTTCCCTGTATCTTCTCCATCACCTGATACTACCTTTTGTCATTTGTGTCCTGTTAATCCAAATATCTAAACATTTCTCTGTCCTTTAATTTGTCTAAAATACAGTTGTGAACATGCTACTCACTTGCTAAGAATGCATGATGAGAGTGGAATCTGTGTGTGGTGTGTAAGGCTTTTTACAGTCTCACTTCATGCCACCTGCTTGTGTTCACACTGCATTCCAGTCCAGGAGGCTTTTCTTCACAAGGCTCATCCTGCTTTATTTTGTTCCCCCATGCTTTATCATATTCTGTGACTTCTGGTTCCAATTTCTTTTATTTATTTATTTATTTATTTATTTATTTATTTATTTATTTATTTATTTACCAAGTGAAGTATCTCATTTGTCATGTCACTTTCAAAAGTTGACTTCTGAATGGGCAGAACTCCGGGCTTCTTTTTATTTTTATTATGCGCCGAGAGCACATCTCCTAGCACAAGATTGTGTGTGCTCTGAGAAGTCCTGCTTCGTGCCCTGTTGATCTCTGTATTACCAGTATCCAGCCTGGCAAATTGCAAGTCAGGTAATATATCCCAAATTATTTGATGTTGAATGCATGAATGATTATGTGCTTATAATCTATTTTCTTTCTTTCAACTTTTAATTTATTTTGTGCCTAGGTCTGTCTACACAGCCAGGCTGATTTTGAACTCATGATTCTCTGGTTTTTATATCCTGAGTGCTGGCCTGACAGGCAGGGACCACCATGCCCAGAGGACAGTCAACTTCAAACACTGAACCGTTTCACTGTTCTGAATATTTTAACACTTGAAATGGAAATGGATGGCCTTCTCAACCCCTTGAAATCTAATGTGAGTCTTTTCATCTTAACACCCCTGAAATATCAAATAATCAACAAATGTATTTAGAATGGACCAATTTATTAATACCTGTGGTTCCTGGACCCTGTAAGCAAAATTGCAAGTAAGTTTTCTTTTAAAAAATTTTTTATTGATTCTTTGTGGATTTCATATCATGCATTCTGAAACCACTTATCTTCCCACCCCCTCGAATCCACCCTTTGTCTTTGTAACACCCCCTAATCAAAACCAAATTTAACATAAATACCAAAACCCAAAATGGCCTTTGTTGCAGTATTCTTTTCAAGTTTAATAACTTTGAAGGACCTTACACCATGTTTTAAAACAAAATCGTATTTTACTTGTTCACTACGGTTTATTTTGAAGTTTGAGTTACCTATCTCAAACAAATATAATATCACCATCTTTGTCTGTCTAGCCTCTGTTCTTTTCTATGTGTAACATCTTTAAGATTTAAATTAATGTAATTAGATTTAATTAATATAATAAATGTATGTGTAAATGTAGATTTACATTCATGGTAGACTCCAAGGAAGGCCACAGAGGTTCCTGAAAGAAATCATACAAACACATCTCTGCCTTTCTGCCAACACTGAGTCAGTTTATAAGTTATGTACATATTAATGTCCGACATTCTAGAATAGTAACAGATAAATCAAAGTACAAATCGGCACCAAGCATTTTGTCACACTAATCTTTGCAGTATGGTCCAGCCATTTTGACAAACAGAGACAACAGTGAAGGATCCTTACTGTGTAACTAAGGCTGGAGGAGCATCACACTTCTGCAAAGTCGCATCTGTTTGTAGAGCAAGTTCAGATTTAAAGAGATACCTAAGGACACCAAGTATGATATTAAAAAAGCGGGGGTAGGGGGGGAAATAGATCCTTAAGGAAATTTGATGTTTAACAAAGACTAGCACTAGTGTGAAGAAAAGTGTTCCAAAAGCTGCAGGGAAATCCATAAATAAGAAGCTAAAAAAAGTCTATGGGATAAATGATTAAAAGGCAGCTTCTTTGATGTGATTAAAAGCTAATCTTTTCAAATTCATGGAAAATGGCTGTCGGAAGTCTGGAGATGGGATACAGCTTCATGAGAATGGAGGTCTAGTAAATGCAGACATGAAAATGATATATTTTTGGAAAACAATTTTATTGTAAAGTTAACATTTTTAATATTTTTAAAATTAATATTTAAATGTCATTTGAAATAAAAGGCAATTACTTAAATATTAAGGAATTTAAGCACAAATTTAAGCCATAGGCATGCCTTTACAACTGTTTTAATTGTTGTGTATTTTATACCTGTATCTGTATTAATTTGACAGTTTTTTTCTAGTGATAAAGAACTATACGAAAATATAAGTCAATATGCAGTTAATATTTTATGTTATTAATTCCATATGCTTCAAGGGATCCTTTCAGTTATTTTAGTTGGTGTCTGATCATTCATTTTGGGGACGTTCTGTAACTGATTCTGGATGGTTCAGTGTTTTTTTTTTATGTATAAGAGTGAAGGTCCCTCTGGCAGGAGTGACTGCAGATAGTGAGGATTCATTCTGATGCTTTTCCTTGGATTTCCTTGGACTGGGTTTCAGCCTGATGGAAGCCACTGATCTTATACTTGCATTGGTTGAAATTCAGTTTTCCCTGAAGTCTTTCACAACATGGTTCTGAGTTTTAAAAAAATGCATTTTGAACTTTATAACTATATACTGACATTTTGTTTAAAAACCAGAGATGCATCTCAAAATCAAATTTAGACACATCTACAGACGTGGTTGTTGGGGCCTCCTCTGAGAGCTTGCACATGTGAACAATCACTACTTTGCACTTGTGTTACTCACGCTGTTTGATTTTGAGAATACCACATAATGTACGGAAAAAGATTTCATAGACTCTTAAAATTGTAATAGAACTGGTATGACCATTCACTTTGTCTTACTT